CCAGTCCCCGATAGTGTTATGCCTGCAGCAGCAGCTGCCAAAGCCGCAGGAGATTTGCCCCAGTTCACAGTCAAGCGATGGCCCCGCAGGATAAGGCGATCATAACTTCGTTCAGCGGCCCTCTCAGCGGATTCTCTAGTGGTAAACTGCAGAAAGGCGCAGTGCTGCTTGTGGTGAACACTGACCGAGCGTAGCTCACCAAACTGATAAAAGTGATCACGCAGATCCTTCTCAGTGAGCTCCTCAGGAATGCCACCAATGTAGAGGGTAGTAATGGTCCTGTCTTCTGGTGGCGTGAGTTTAGGCATGGAGGAGTACTTGGAGAGCAGCTTAGCAGCCACAGGATCGTCTTGACCATAGTAACGATCACGCAGATTTTGTTCCGATAGTGGATCGTCCGGATCAGTCGGTTTTTCATGTCTGTACGGACATTCCTCACCACGCCTACACTCACCCTTGACCCAAAAGGAACAAATGTGCGGTCTGTTTCGGCGATAGTAGGGCGTTGTCCGGGCTAGTTTAAGAAGCATGTCTGCACCACTCGCACCAGCGCCATGAGCTGCTGCATTTGTACTGGCCAACTGCTTCCCAATCAAGTCATGGCCACCATAGGGTGCGTTAACATCACCAGCTAGCTCCAACTGGTTTTCAACTTGCTGGTGGAAATACTCTCGATTCACATCGCTCCGAGGCAGAGCCTGGTTAAGACGAAGCGCCTTGTCACGGACTTCAACGGGCAATCCATATTCAAGATCAAAAATGCAGGTCTGGCAGACGTTCTTCACCTTGGCACAGGTTTGGCAGATTTCAGTCTTCTTGAAACGAGCTTTGGGTCCCGGACTCCAGCGGAAGACTGTAAATGGGCGACTGCAGATTTTGCATTCCTTTCCGTACCGCTCTTTCATCATTCTGACGAACGGACTCGGGCCGAGGCATGTTTCACAGAGAATGGGAAAGGACTAGAACATAAAAATAAAGCCTTAGGTGGGAAGAAATTCAGCATGAAGTTTAAAAAATGATCATTTACTATTGAAAGCCTAATGGGTACAATTAACATAAATCCAAAATACGATAAGGAGAGCGTTCATAGGAAAAAAAATTGCCAAGGGAGACAGAAGTGCGTTAGGAGGTAATTGCTACGTTGAACTGTTACAGACAGCATCAAGGATGTATCAGAAAGATACAAGAAGCAATCTTTTCTCAACAAGCCTTAGCGCGCCCTAAAATTCGCACTGTCGCTAAGTGGAGAAGAAATTGAATCCAAAATATATCGAGTTTCTGACATTCCTCTTGTGTTAACTAACTTTTTATTTTAGACCGCCATAAAAGTCCGATAAGGCAGACGTAACTTTCAAGACGGACTAAAACAGAACTCGGCTCTGGCACTATCCAGCCTAATATGAAGAATGCATTTTTATTCCAGTCCAGTTAGGACGCATGCCTGGGACGCGTCAATGAGTGCAAAACATCGGAAGAGCAATTACACGAAGTTGGGTGGAGGCGGACACAGGCAGTAGGAGTTACGGTCTACCCCTCTACCCAAATGACTGTTTTTTTAGGATAACAGATATGCTGGGAAAGACGGACGCCTGACACCACTTTAACGGTCAGCAATATGGTATTTCCATGCTTTCCGATAGGAATATTTGCATTGCTACTCAGTCTTGGCTGCGGGGGCTATTGGGGTTTAGGGGGGTGGAAGCCTGTCCCTTAAGAGCAATGGAGACAGGTAGAAGACGGACATCTCGTCAGGTTTGAGAATCCACCATGATGGCTGAGCTCGGTTGGGAAAAGCTACGTACCTGTAGATGATTGTGTTTATATTGTGAAATGCACATGTCTGTTTTCCATGCTACTAGTGTTAGTCAAAAGGGCAAAATACTCATAATAAAAGGTCGTTGGGTTCTAGTCCCCTCGTTGATTCGGGGATTGTTATGTGCACCTCTAGACCCGATATACCCGAGCTCAGTGAAACCAGTGCTACCTTCCGCTACTCTAGTAGCAAAGAAGCCATCTTGAGAGAAGTCGCAAACTTACATTTTTTGAACACCACGTACTGCATTTGAGAAAAACGGTGGTCCAGTGCCAATAAAGGGGAAGATAAACGAACGCATTTTAACTCTCTACAGATTGCGATAACATGACGAGAGAAGAACGCAAATACATATACAACTCGTATAATTTCTTGCTTTAATAAACATTTACCTCATCTGACTTCAGATTAGCGTCAAAAAGACAAATTGATGATCGGAACATGGCGCTACACGAGGTTTGATATGAGGAACCACACACAGAGAAAACAGTCCTGAAAATAAGGTATTTTGTATGTATATGCGATTATTTTCGCTATTTTGGACACTACCGCCAGTCCGACCGTCCCACGCGTGTACCACAGCATGGTAGGCACAGAACCGTGGCTTTGTTATAAAATTAGTTTATAGTGAGAGCAGACTTGCACTGCACCAACCGCACTCACGTTTTGTACTCATCTGGGCCCATTGGCGTGGCTAAATGAGGACGACCGGCTGTGGGATCAGACGCTGTGGCTAACAAGACTAATCAGCCCGTCTATACGCGCATGATAGACCACGTTTTCACAGATATAAGGGGATGTCACGGGTTCCAGATAAAAGTGCCATAAAGGTCACAGTAAGAAGCCGTTGTAGGCTGACTATCAAGCCTGAAGATATCAAGTTATTTCGTCGTTTGCGAGCCTTTTCCACGACCATCAGTGCGCCGTGATAGTCCCATAGCGCGTAAAGTCGACAAAAGGGAATTACTGATTGGAGTGCCGTGGAAACGGCGACCACAAGACAGCAGTGGCAAGCAAACCTCGTCAATGGCGGTTCACGATCGCCATGTCATAGTACCGTCATAGGGACTTGGTACCTTATAAAGGGCAGTCGGCGCGCCGGACTTCAACCCCCAACGCCCTGATAACATTGTCACTGCTGGTCTGTGAGTGCATATTCGCCAGATCCAAGAGCCTGTTTATTTCGCAGCTAACCTTCGCTGAAGGCCGTTCCACTATACGCCGGCTGTGGACGCGCCAGGATAGCTAACAATTACGCTAATAGGTAATCCGCCTTCCACTTTAGTGGCCTGTATTACACATGATCAGCACTATAGACACGCAGCTGGAACGCATTTCATCACAACCACAGTGGTTAGGGTGGGGAGAACCGTCTAAGGACTATGAATATGGGATCTCCTGAGAACACGGGAATCAGCACCCATCGTAAAACAAGCGGCTTTGCACTAAATCCTGCGAAATTCATGTTTGGTAAAGATCAGGGGTTGGGTTAGGATACGGGAGTTTAGTGCAAGGCTGTGAGAACAGTGGGCAGGAGCTACCTGACTAGCAAATCGATCCTACCCACGCGCTCACGTCGATATGAATCTTAGTGCACGGTATCCCTTCAAAATGAAGGCGCTATTTCAAGGGCGACGTACCGTATAGGGCGTCTAGGTGACCTCTTAAAAAGTATAATCGAAAATGAGACGCCAGTAATGATAAGAAGTGAAGCAAGGCCAACATAAGAGAGCGAATGGGCTGTTCAGGTGATCTACTGTGGTAATGGGAGGCTCGTCGATAAGATAGCCTAGTGTCCTGCTTCGTCCAGAATAATAAAAGACAAAATTCGGTTAAGAAATACGCCAAGGCTAGTAGCCGGCTAAGAACTCTCGTGGTTTCATCTACGCGCACGTCAATACTGTCGTCTACACAACATCCTTCGCCCTAATATTTTTTTAATAAAATAAAAAACAATAACTGACGTAAGACCGCTTTTGTTTTCCGGTTCCTATCGCGAAAAAAGCTTTTTAAACAATTACACACCATTAAACAAATAGAACCTAAGTTCAAGTGACACAAAAATAACACTGCTCGTAAGTAAACCCTACGAAAGCAATATCGCGGTATAGTGCCGTGTCACTACTTCTCGATACTGCTAAGACTTGAACAAAATCAGGCGCTAACAAACACACCCCTAGCGAAAGTTCCAGTTTTAGTCGCCTAGACATGGAATTCTTGCTAGGCGCGAACTGACTGTAAGGGGTTTTTATTTGACAAAATCAGCGTCGGAATACAGTGACGCTAATGGTAAAGCTGACCTTTCACGAAGTACTTATATCCTTATTGTATAGGACAATAAAGTGTACACTGTCCGCGAGAGAAGGCGGTATACACCAATTCACCTGGTACATCGAGCGACGTGGTCAGCAACGGCGCCTAAGGGAGTGCAAACTTATGAAGGAAAAAGGCGGTGTCTTGGAATGAAATTGCAGGCATGTGAAGTGCAAATCTAACAGACGTGCATGAAACACTACAACCGCAAGCTAAATTTACACCCAGACTCCCTTTAAAATGATAAGTAATCCGAAAAAGTGCTCATTGATGGAAAAAAACGCTGAGTGACGAAGAAAATATGTTTTTACTATTACACTTACTGAATCTTCCCAGTTCTGACGATTATACGTATTCGACGCCTTCGACGAAGCCATTTTAGGAGGGGCGCGAAAAACGGAGGATTCGAAGACTTAAACAAAGAAGTAGTCAATGGATTTTCTTCAAGATTTTAACATATCTCTTGTATTTATATTTAGGAATTTGGCCAACCTCATAAGGTTTTAAATATAAAGCTGCTTAGCTGGCTGTTTTTCTTGGTATGTGTAAATTGTCGAGTATTTCTGTGTCCACGTTGACGTTAAAAATATACAAAAAAGAGGAAAGGGTAAGTAAGCCAAACAGAAGATCTCCCCTAACATCGCTCCATTTGGAGACTCAAAATAGTTTTAAGTAAGAGGAATATGGCACATAATTCTAACTCTGTCTTGCCATGGGCACTGATTTTATCTGGTAGTTGTCCGTCGCATAAAGTACAACACACTGTTAAGGATAATGAGAAAAACTTTTGACGTTCAGCCTGTCAGACATTGAAACCCCCAGAAACTCTGAAACTTAGCTTCTAGATCAACAGACTTTTCGTTTGAAAGCCTGCAACATGGAAATTTAGCACGCAACTGAAATACTGATATTAAGATGTCAAAGAACACCGGCTCTTGTCGAAATTAGTAAGGAGAAATGATTATTGCTTCCTTGAGCATCCAGTGACCGCTTTCAGAATTAGTAAGCAAAAATAGTGACAAAAGGCTCTTAAACCGAATAAGTATGCATGTAAATTCATCAACGTATATATAGGACAACGTTAAAGGTTCTGACTGCTGGAAATTCTAGTGAGATCTTTCGGGTAACAAAGGGGTATTTGGATCTGCATGAGACATTTACGCAAAAATAATGTCCCTCATTGCATAAGAACATGTGTGAGTGATACTTAATAGCACTCCTGATGAGCTTTTTATTCGGATTTTAAAATAGTTCTCTTCAATGGAAAATAATAAACCGGAAGAGTCTAACTGTACGATTAAAATATGGGTAGAAATAATTTTACGCACGACGAAATAGCCGGCGACTTGGTGAGAAAGAATCATTTTCACTCTTTTAGAGGCAATCCACTGAGCAACTGTCCGGAAAGGAGGACGGTGCTAGTCGCTCGAACATTGGATCGCCACAAGATGGACATTATTGCCGTCAGCGTGACCCGATTCTCTGATCAAGGACACCTGCAGGAGGTGGATGCCACGTACACATTCTGTACCGGTAGCCCAAAGACAGAAAAAAACAACGTTAGCATTGCGTTCGCCGTCCAATACCATATCATGGGACGACTGTCCTGCCTTCCACAAAGCATAAACAACCATTTTATGGGCGTATACCTGTCCTTTTGAATAATAACTCCACCGAAATTCTCAGCATCTACGTCTGCTGTTGAATAGATCCGAGGACATGAGCGAAAGTAAATTGAAGCTCTGCACATCTTCCTGGAGAAAGCCAATAGATTAATTTGTAGTGGTTCTACAGCCCACCTCCTTCAAACTCGAGACGCCACTGACATATTCTCCCAGGGTAAATCTTGGTCGCCCAGTCGCGCCTTTCCCAGCGCGATGG